GTTGAAACAGCTGGCACGAAGCTCACATATGGCATTTAGCCCAAAATAGAATAATATTAAATAATTAACTATCAAATACACAGTAAAGTAGTCATTCGGGATGGACTAAGTCATAATCCCCAAAGGTGTACGACCCTACGCTCGTCATCTAGCGTGTGTCTCACCTAAACATAGCCGAACGCTGTGAAATTCCGGGGTTTCATACCCTCAGGACAGCATTTACAATCATTACTAACCTCGATCCGGTCCAAACTTTAGCCTGCGATGCCTTTTCTCGCGTGAATCGACCTCCGTATGCTCCAAATCAAGCCAAGTTTAGATTTTTATCATCAAATTATGCTAAACGAATGAATTCCAATTGAAAAATACGATTTTAAGCATAAAACCCAAAATCAGTCAAAACCCGACCCCCGGGTCCGCGTCCCGGAACTGGACAAACTTTATACTAAAATGTTCTTCATCATCTCACGAGTCCATACATATAAAGAACTTGAAAATCGAAGTTCGTTTGACCCCTCAAATCATTCCTAGAAGGTCTCATAATCTCAAGCCCTAACTCCACCTTTTTTCTACTGATTTTCATGAATTAAACACTGATATTTTGTTCCTTAATCACAAATAATCGGGGCATTTGCATCTATACCCGCTTTTTGTGCCACATTTTAACCTGTGCCCGCTTTGCAAAAAAAATTACAAGCGTACCCGCTTTTTCGCATAACTTCAGCACACGGGGCTGAAGTAGCAAAGGCAATCACACAAAACTTCAGCATTTTAGTAGCCGGGCCTGAAGTTCAGCTCTAGAGCTGAAGTTTTTGTTTTGTAACATGCGAACTTCAGCTCTAGAGCTGAAGTTTTATTTTATAAGTTTTTGTTTAGTAACCGGGCTGAAGTTTGCCAGTTATAAAATAAAAACTTCAGCTCTAAAGCTGAAGTTTGCCAGTTATAAAATAAAAACTTCAGCTCTAGAGCTGAAGTTTTTCTTTTGTACTGGAAAACTTTGTCTTTGTAACCCAGAAACTTCAGCTCTAGAGCTGAAGTTTGCCAGTTATAAAATAAAAACTTCAGCTCTAGAGCTGAAGTTTTTCTTTTGTACTGGAAAACTTCAGCTCTAGAGCTGAAGTTTTTGTCTTTGTGACTGGAAAACTTCAGCTCTAGAGCTGAAGTTTCTATGTTGTAACTAGAAAGCTGAAGTTTCTATGTTGTAACTAGAAAACTTCAGCTCTAGAGCTGAAGTTTTTGTGTTGTAACTGAAAAACTTCAGCTCTAGAGCTGAAGTTTCTATGTTGTAACTAGAAAATGAGAAGGAGAATGGGGAGGAGAAAGGGAAGCTGAAGTCTTTTAAAAAGTGTGTACGGGTGCAAACAGAAAGACAAAGCGGCTACAGGTTAAAAAGGGGCGCCGAAATAGGGCGCCCCGTGCAATTTTTACCAAATAACCGAGTTTTAGGGTCCAAAATCCTTACCTCAATGAAGAACAATAATTTTCTCTCTTCAAAATCGTCTCAAAGCTCTTTTCGCGTTCAAAAATGATGTAAAAGGGTTTAATGGTCGCGGAGTAGCCTTTTTAAAATATTCTGCCCAGGCCTTAAAATCCTTCTTCGCGAACGCGGTCAAAGCCTCGCGTTCATGAAGCACAAAATTACTTGACCAAGATTTCCTCTTTCGCGATCACGACCAACCCAACGCGAACGCGATGCTTTACTTAGACAGACCTTCGCGATCGCGTTCCCCCTACCGCGAACGCGGTGAATTAAATTCCCTTGAAACTCAGCTGCCCACTTCTTCTACGCGAACGCGACTACACTCCCGCGAATGCGATGCACAGACGCCCAACCCTTCGTGAACGCAGATCCTGCCCCGCGAAAGGGAAGGCTAAATTTCCAACTTCCTCAACTGACCCTTCGCGAACGCGAGGACCCTTTCGCGAACGCGAAGGTCATTTTTCCGCAGCACTGACCTGCAATTTTCTGCAGGTTCTAACTTCATGGAATGACCCGATTGACCACCCGAAACTCACCCGAGGCCCTCGGGACATCAACCTAAGGCACAATCATATCCCATACGCTTATTCAAACTTGTACCAATCTTCAAAACACCTCAAACAACATCAAAACCACCGAATCACATCGAATTCAAGCATAGGGTTCTAAATTCTTCCGCATTCCGCTTTTGATCAAAAGCCCAACCAAACGACGTCCGAATGACCTAAAATTTTGCACACACATCCCAAATGACATAACGAAGCTACTGCAACTTTCGAAATTCCATTCCGACCCCTGTATCAAAATCTCACCTATCAACCGGAAAGCGCCAAAAACTCAATTTCGCCAATTCAAGCCTAAATCTACTCCGGACCTCCAAAACAAATTCCGATCACGCTCCTAAGTCCCAAACCACCTAACGGAGCTAAGCAAATAATAAAAATTCCAATCTGAGATCATATGCTAACAAGTCAAATCTTGGTCAAACCTTTTAAATTTCAAGCTTCAAACTAAGAACTGTTCTTCTAAATTCATTCTGATCACCCTGAAAACTAAAACCAACGATTTACATAAGTCATAATACATTACACGGGGCAAGTCATGCCCGAGAACTGCCGAGCAAAGTGTAAAAGCTCAAAACGACCGGTCGGGTCGTTACACTAATTAAGTAGAGGTGTATTAATAGTATTCTTAAGAACTATTACTAATTGATTAGCTTATACATTGAGAATTACACTAAGTAGAAGTGTATTAGTAATACCAGTAAGAAAATTAGTGATTGATTAGCCTATACGCTGAAAATTCTACTAAGTAGAAGTGTATTAGTAGTAATCTTAAGAAATATTACTCATTGATTAGTTTATAAAATGATAACTACACTAAGTAGAAGTGCATTAGTGATATCCATAAGTAATATCAGAATAATTACACATAATATTACACATAAATTATACAGTAAGAAGAATTATTGTTAGATTTTTGTAAAATACTAGTCTTAGGGTACGCGCTTTGCGCGTGTATCCTATATCAATAAATTAATAAGGGGAACGTAAAGTCGAAATGACTTATATTTTTTTTACAGCAAATAATTTAATATAGAACATTGGTTTGAATTCATAGTAATTTGTTAGCTAGAATTTAATTAATTTAATAATTTAATAATTGATAGTAATTTGTTAGCTAGAATTTAATTAATTGGCAAAGATTGGTGATTGTTTAATTATCTTAAATATTAGCAATATAGTTAATTAATATTAATAATTTATTAGGCAATTAATTGATAATTACATTAAGTAAAAAAGGCAATTAATGGATTGCAAGGTATAGAGACTTCCACCCAAGGCGAGGCGATTGATAGTTCGGCTATATCATCTATGGAAGAGAAGATCGCAAAGCTCACAACAGAGCTTGAAGAGACCAAGGCTAGAGAAAAGGAGAGATTTGATACCCTTCAAGGTCAGCTAGAAAGGAGGGACAAACAATTTGATCTCCTTCAAGGTCAGCTGGCCAATCTTCTTGCTAGTGGTGCTTTCCCCATTCCCCGGTCTCCTCCTTCCCCACCTGCCGACGATGAAGGTCCTAGGACCGAAGATGGAGATGATGCTGCATAAAAAACTCATTGAATGTTGTGTATTGTTAAACAAAGTTGTGAACTTGTCAATATTATGTTGTTGGTTATTTGAATGATGATTATATTGTTATTTTGTTATTGAACACTTTAGTAGTTGTTGTTGTGGTTATTAGTTGTTGGTTAATTGATGTTGTTGTTGGTTATTAGTTGTTGTCATTTTGTTGGGTTGAATGGTTGAATGGCAGCAATGTAAGCTGACATTATAGGAAGTATATTGGTTTAAATTGGCAGGTGGTGTAGCTTAAAGCAGCCATTTTCTGCCCAGTTTTTATCCAGATTTCTGACCGAATTCGGTCGGAAACTAATTTTTTTCCCCAGAAATTCATAAAAGAAATTATGAATTTATATTTACTTTTTAAATAAATTAACATTTTACAAATATTTATTTAATTAGATAATATTATTATTTTCTAAAAGTTCCGACCGAACTCGGTCGAAAAAACTAAAATTAAAAATAAAAATAAATAAATAATAATTTTCCNAGTAGTAATCTTAAGAAATATTACTCATTGATTAGTTTATAAAATGATAACTACACTAAGTAGAAGTGCATTAGTGATATCCTTAAGTAATATTAGAATAATCACACATAATATTACACATGAATTATACAGTAAGAAGAATTATATGTTAGATTTTTGCAAATCAATTTAATATTATGTACATATATGGTGTATATATATATATATATATATATATATATATATATATATATATATATATATATTGTACATACAAGGGAACTTTTTTTAAACCTAAAAGCCAAAATTGCACATACGAAATTTATATAAAAGCAAAGAAATGATAAAGAAATACAATTCTTACAAAAGTAGACAAAATTATAAAGTATCATAACTCCAATTTCCTGCAAAATATTGGTTAAAACACCCGACCCGCTAGTGATATTGTCTGTTTTGGACCTAGGCCCGCACGGCTTTTAAATGCATCATTAAGGTCTAATATCCCGTTTACTTATATACCCAACATCTCTCCTGTATTTTGTTGATATAGGATTCGCCTAAGGTGTCACAATTGGTCACGAAAAGAACTTATAAACAAGTTACCAATAGCACTGAAATATACAGTATTCTTTTGACAAACAAAAAGACTTTATGAATACTTAAGGTAGATCTTGAGATTGGAAATTATACAGTGTCTATATATTAGATTATTTTTATTGTGTATATATAGTATATGTTAAATTTTTTAATTTTAACTGTACTTGTTATTTTTTATTTCGCTATCCCTTGGTGAAATATTTGACTTGCCACTGTTTGTGATGCTAGAATGAGTGAACATAACTTTTGTCCTTTTTCTTGAAATCTTTTCCTTCCCTCATTTCTTTTTCTTTTCAATTAGTAATTAGTAATTGATAATAATAACATGCAGCAAATCTTCACAGTACCAAAACACCCGACCCGTTTCTGCAGATCTTCTCTCAACAAAAAACCTAACAATGTCGCCAAACAAGAGAACCCTAATGCCCAATCCGAAAACCCTCTTTTCCACACATTAACTGAAAACCCAAAAAGGGTTAAACTCAAAATCGTGTGGAATCTCTGAAGGAGCTCTGAACTCGGTGGCTTTCTCACGCCGGTCTCTTTCTCTTTCACCCTCGCCGGATTTGAAAGCTTTCTCAGACCACCCTCGCCGGATTCAACCCAAAACTTGGTGCTGGTCTTGGACTTGACCCTTTCTCTCAGCAAATCATTGAATCTTGGCTTCAACAATCCCACCTCCTTCAGCAAACCACCTTGCCTCTTACCGTTGATCAAGTACACATCAAGAATCCCATCTTTTTTAACAGTTAGTATATTTTGCTCTATTTACTTGAGAGTAGCTATTTGGTTTTACAGTTAGCTGATCGAATGTGTTTGCTATTTTTTTTTTCTTTTTTTTTTCTTGTCTGCTTTGTAAGATACTGTTGCAATAGTTTTTTACCCTGTTCCGTCAATAACATATTGTCATAAAGTTCAAGAATTAAATTTTTGTAGTTAAATTAATACTTTTATTTGTTGTTTTGTTTGTTAAACCAAATTGGTACATTTTCCCCCCAAACATGGTATATAACAGTTGCTAATTGTTTTTGTAATTAGTATTGTTATACACTAGTATCTGCACTTTGCAACTAGGCTTAATCATGACTCCTTGTTTGCCCATTTATATTACTCAATATTTAACACTTGTTTCTGTAAATGAAAAAACAATTATTTACTTCTCTTGTCGCTGTTCAATGAGTATGCGCTTTTGGGTTGTAATTTGACTAAAAAATAAATTCATTCATAGTTCTACTATCAGAAGAGTCGGAACTGTTATTTACTCCTCTTGTACACGCAGACACATTTTTAGATTCTTGGATTCCTGTTATGTGGTTGTAAGAACAACTCTTAGCTATTAACCATATTTTAACTGTCTAAAGCTATCTTTTTCCAGAGATTTACTTTGGCACTAACATTACCTCATCTTTTTTCCCAATAAAAATTTTAATAGACACAGCTGGACCTTGAGAACTTATTACTTCCAATAAGCTTTTGTGCACAAATCTTGTTTGAGTTGGAGATTCTCTTTGTCAATTTTTTTTTCTCAGAATGTGGCAGTAGACATCTATATATGAGTTAGTGTAATTAGTATTGTTAGTGTAATTAGTATTGTTAGTCTAATTAGTAGTGTAATTAGTATTCTTAGTGTAAGATGGTCAAGCCAATTCCTATTATTATGTTTGCTATTTCCACAAACAGAATTGGTTCTTCACAAACCATATGAGAAGTACAAATGCCGTAAGAGACTCTCTGATTCCTTCAGCTCCGCTCGAAGGGTTAAAAAGAAGCCTTCATGGGTTCTAGCGGATGTATGGGTGGAACTGAAGAGGTATTGGACCACCGAGAAATTCAAGAAGCAGAGTGAACTGGGAAAGAAGGCCCGAGCATCTGAGAAGGGTGGCTCCTTGCAGTGTCTGGGTTCAAGGAGCATAGGGGATACGAGAAGACAACTAGTAATTCCTTAAAATATTTCGGTCTATTTTTATCGAACTATATTTATATATATGTTAATTTCGTTAACACGTTTTATTATATTTGTAGGAAAAAAATTGGGGAGGAAGATGAGTCGTAATGAGTTCTTCATGGAGACTCACATCCGGAAGAAGAAGGCACCGACAAATCCAACTAGATGGGTCGAGGACCGGGTGGAGACTACACATGTAAGTTTCATAACTACTAAAAATGTTTATTATTTTATATAGTTAGTAGTTTTCTATCTTCTAAATAAAGGGTCGCTACAAGATCAATTTGGATGAGTACACTCGGAGCTTGCCACCGAATGAGCAAGGCGAGCGACCGCCCATTTCAAACGAAGAAGAGGAGAGGATATGGTTGGATATTGTCGGTGGTCCTTAAAAGGGGATAGCATAACGACCTTTCAGATAAATCGTTTTGGCGCTACAAGGTTGGATTGCAAGGTATAGGGACTTCCGCCTAAGGCGAGGCGATTGACAGTTCGACTATATCGTCTATGGAACAGAAGATCGCAAAGCTGACAGCAGAGCTTGAAGAGACCAAGGCTAGAGAAAAGAAGAGATTTGATACCCTTCAAGTTCAGCTAGAATGGAGGGACGAACAATTTGATACCCTTCAAGTTCAGCTAGAAAGGAGGACCGAACAATTTGATCTCCTTCAAGGTCAGCTGGCCAATATTCTTGCTAGTGGTGCTTTCCCCATTCCCCGATCTCCTCCTCCTTCCCCACGTGCCGGCAATGAAGGTCCTAGGACTGAAGATGGAGATGATGCTACATAAAAAAAACTCATTGAATGTTGTGTATTGTTAAACAGAGTTTTGAACTTGTCAATATTTTATTATTGTTGGTTATTTGAATGATGATTATATTGTTATTTTGTTATTGAATATTTTAGTAGTTGTTGTGGTTATTAGTTGTGGTTGTGGTTATTAGTTGTTGGTTAATTATTGTTGTTGGTTATTTGTTGTTGTTGGTGGTTATTAATTGTTATTTTGTTGGGTTTTCATGGTTGAATGGCAGCAATGTAAGTTGTCATTATAGGATGTATATTGGTTTAAATTGGCAGGTGGTGTAGCTTAAAAGCAGCCATTTTCTGTGCAATTTTTACCCAGATTTCCGATTGAATTCAGTCGGAAATTAATTTTTTTTGCCCAGAAATTTCAAATAAATTCTCCATATTATTGAAATTTCCGATCGAATTCGGTCGGATATTTTCGACCAATAGCGGTCGGTACACGTTTCCGACCATTATTTTTTCGTCCAATTAAAATTGGTCGAAATATTGCGGACGGAAATTACCTGATTTGTAGTAGTGATAGTAAATGCAGAAAGTAATGAACACAAATATTTTTGCGTAGAAAACATCCGGCTCAAAAGTTAAAAAAAATTACGACATACTACTCAGTAGGATTTTTCCAACACTACACTAAAGCACTGTGCCAAAGTAGCATTTAAAAAACTCTTTGTAAACCTAAGGATTACCTCTAATCCCGTTGTGGCAACCAGCCTCTAACTGTTGCGACAACTTCAAGTTAACTCTAACATGAATACTCAGAGTACCTAATACAATTACCTCTAGATAAAGCTGAAAGGTACAATTTGAAAAGCCCAACTACAATTGAACTAAAATAAAAGACAGACAGTTTGAACTAATTCTTCTATCTGGTTCATGTAGCTTCAGATTCGCACACTTGAATCGCACAAGAATCGCTTGCAAAATGCCTTGCTATTTTACCCTCAACTCAAGTTTAACTTCAGCTTTTGTGTGTACCTGTAAAATGAGAACATCCTGCAATTTATAGAGTTAGTAGGATAGGAAATAACTAGAGTTCTAATGCTATACTCTTCCATGGTGGAAGAGTTTTAGTTATCTTCAACTTCTAACTCCTCCCGTATCTTAGATAAAGTTCTCTTCGAGTAAGGGGTCCTTCTCCGTATCATTTATGCAACCTTTTCGTTCAGGAGATATCAGATATAACAACTTAAGCTTATCTCCTTCACGTGCATCCCTTATTCTCGAATATGCCCGTGTCTGTCTACACTGTGTATGAACCCGGTTCATGTTTGAGTTCCTTTGTCAATCATCAAAACAAATTTCACTTGGGCCAATAAATTCCCCATTTTTGATGATGACAAAATCTGTGCTTTTCATAAGCATAGGCCCCGTGTCAACTCAACTCAATGTCAACACAAATCATCAAAGACCATGTTCATTAGGTTATAAACATCAATGTCCACAGTAAAAAGCACAACCTATCTTCCCCATTTTAGCATCATCGAAAAGTTGCATAATTATGTTAAATAACCAAATTTTAATTGAAATTACTCATGGCCACTGGGTCCACTTCAAATGCAATCATGGATTCAAGCATCATTTATCTATCTAATGATATTAGTCAACTAAGATGCATCAACAAATAGTTAGAGCACAAAAACAGTTGATTATCATTAACACTAGTCATCCACAAAGCGTAAAGAGAAATAAAACATTGGATTATGCAAAAATATCAAAAAGAAATCCCATCCGGGTCTCTGGGTTGTCTAACTAACCTAAGAAGGTTTTACGGCTGGGAAGGACCAGATTCTTGGTTCTTGGCTTGAAGCAGTTTCAGCATATCATGAAGAATGTCATCATTCTTCTCATTTTCCTTTGCAAGCTCAACTCTGAGAGCATGCCTCTCAGTTTCTACTTCTGCCAACCTCTTCTTCAGCATTTCCATTTCAACATCCTTAGCCCCACTTTCTTGCATTAAGGCTCGCATTTTTCTGTTCAAAGGTACCTTCTTGGATGAACCAGGTTCTTTGGGAGTGGTGTGGACTTCATAGTCACAAGCAGTCAAAGCGTTTGTCCCAAAGTGATCCTTGTTTGTACCAACTTCTCATTTCTTGATGGGTAACTTGAAGTGTGCGAGTACAGCCGTGAGAATGAAACCATAGGGTATGGCATGAGTTTTGGTGCCAGTCAGAACCCTATCGAGAAGCTGGATGATAAATCCAAGCTAATTGATTTGCTTTCCACTATCCAAACATTTCATAAGAACTAGGTCTATGAATGTGGCAATGTGCCTCCTTTCCCGCCTAGGCAACACAACTTTGTTAACAAATTGGAACAACACATTGTGGGGTGGCTTCATCTCACTTTTGTATATAGCCGTGGGCTGAATATCTTCTTCATTGTCATTAATCTTCCTTGTAATGGCAAGGGAGGTAGGGAGATTCTCTAGGCTTGGCCATTTGAGTTTCTTGTAATTATTTTACCCTTTAGCAGGTACACCTAAGATCTCTCCCAGATCCTTGTCATAAAAGTCTGTGTCACCCCATTCACCACACTGTTGACTCTGCCATTTTTGATCTCATAATTCGCTATGAACTCCACAATCTCAGTTTTGGCAAGCTTTCCATCCATCTGAAGGACCATATCTTTCCAACCCTGCAGTTGTAACTTTCCAGCAGCAGCATCATGCCTTCCTCCTCCAACTCCCTGAGAAATCTACCTTTCAAGATGGTTCTTTTTCCAACCTTAACCATCTTGTCCTTCTCTGCATCAGATTTTTCTTCTCTTTCACTCTCTTCTTCTTTCATCTTTTTCACTTTTCTAGAATTCAAGGTAGACTTGGTTCTTTTTGCCAAGGTAGAGGGCTCTGCAGACTTTGTCTTTGAAATAGACTTCTTTTTGGAAGACTTGATTTTTGCCTTTAGAGTCATAACCTCCATTTCTTCTGCCTCCTCTTCATTACGAAGAACCAGGTCGATCTCGTCAATTTCAACTGCCTCAACATGCTCAACCACCTTTTCTTACCCTTTGCAACAACATTTCTCTTACTTTCTTCTAGGGTCTTTTCCAGTTCAGCCTAACTCTGCTTCTTTTGACTCCTTGTAGCTCTTCCTCTTGTAGGAGGAGTCTTTACTAGGATAGAAGATACAGCCTTTCTCTTCTAGTTTGCCCTAGCAGTATCAGGGACTTTAACTCCTAAACCATTTTTCTTTTTAGGATTGTAACTATCAAACACTTTTCTCAATAGGTCCTCGAGGGGTTCCTCCACAGATGGAACAGGTTCTTGGAACCTTTTCCTCAGATGGAACAGGTTCTTGGAACCTTTTCCTCAACCTAACCAACCGCTCAGCAGCTTCTCCAGACCCACTTCGCTCTTTTTTTTGCTCACAGTTTCTTCTTCTCCAGCAGATTCCTCACTCCATACTACCATACCTCATGTTTCTTCAGTCAAACCAACGGGAGTAGGTGAAGATTCGTCCACTCCTTGTCATGTTCCCCTTACATCACCTTGAACACCCCCATTCTCCTTTTCTTTTCTCTTTTTATTTTTACCACCAATTTTCCCAAACTCAATGGTCTTTACCCCAATCACAGTTCCTAGTAGAACAAATGTATTTTCTATATTTGTAGCAACCTCAAAGATTACTTCAGATGTAATTTTTGGACCAGATGTTACCTACTCTATTTCTGATAAAATAGTTTCTCCCCCTTCAGTTGTAGACTTGAAAAAATCTTCAGATTTTTGGGGTTTATCGGCCTTACTTGCCTTCAGATGCTCATTGATGTTCTTGATTTGTTCTCTTCCAGCAACTACTTTGCGAGCAAGCATCTTGATTCTTCCTTCCCTAGAGATAGGTGTGGCTGATGGTGTGGTTGAAGGAGTGGGTATGGATTCTTTGGGTGGTGAGGAGGGATTTTCAGAAGTGTTAGCCATTGATGGTTAGAGGAGAACGTGATTATGTGTGTTTGGAATATGAGAGAATATTAGAGAGAATTGTTTGGCGGTTGTGAATTAGAAGTGAAGAAATGACTTAGGCCAAATCAATTTAAAGAGAGATACTTTGATTGGGTGACGACAACTTTTTTCAGAAGTTCAGGAGTCTAACCAAACCAGGAGTCACTTTGAAGAGACACTCTTCCGAGAATCTAGGCACTTATTGCTTTTTTAGGACTCTTTTTGCATAAAACCGGTTCATTTCTAAAGTCCTTTAAGTGATGTTTGATCCACAATAATTGAGTACCATATGAGGCAGCAGCAACATGCTCAGCTTCAGCAGTAGTTAAGGCCACAAAATTTTGCTTTTTGGTGGCCCGAGATACAAGACATGAGCGAAGAAAGCGTGCCATACCTGAAGTGCTCTTTATATCCACAAGAAAATCTACATAATCAGCATCAGCATATCCCACTAAGTTAAAATTACTACCTTTTGGATACCATAGACAAAGGTCAGTGGTGCCTTTTAGGTATCTCAAGATCTTCTTGACAACATTCAAGTGAGACTCATTTGGATTTGCCTGAAATCTAGCACAAAGGCCTATACTGAAAACAATGCCAGGTCTGCTAGTAGTGAGATATAACAAAGAGCCAATCATTCCCCTATACAACTTCTGCTCAACAAGTGAACCAGGTTCATCCACATCCAATTTTGTGGCTGTTGCAATAGGAGTGTCAATTTCTTTGGAATCTTCCATTTTAAACCATTTAAGCAACTCTTTCACATACTTCTGTCGATGGATCATAGTTTCATTTGAATTTTATTTAATTTGTAAGCCTAAAAAGAAATCAATCTCAAGCATCATACTCATTTCAAATTCACTCCCCATTAGTTTAGCAAATTCTTTACTTAACTTATCAGTAGTTGCTCCAAAGATTATATCATCAACATCTGTCTGAACTACCAAGAGATCTTTACCTTTTTCTTTCAAGAATAAAGTATTGTCAATTTTATCTCTCTTGTAGCCATGCTCAAGCAAGAATTTTGATAATCTTTCATAACATGGTCTTGGAGCCTGCTTGAGCCCATAAAGTGCCTTGTCAAACATGTACACATGATCAGGACATTCCATGCTTTCAAAGCCCAGAGTTTGCTTGACAAACACTTCTTCCTTTAGATAGACATTGAGGAAAGCACTCTTGACATCCATCTGATGGAG